GTATATGAAATGTGAATTGCCCAGGGCACAAGGGGAGATAACACAACTGTTTAGCACACGTTTGATCAAAGGATCGACTTCACCTGTTTCTTTGACGAGCTGTTGTGTGGTTCTACGAGTGGTGAGACTTACTGACGATGCCGACTACTATGCGGGCGAAATGTCTGGGAATGTACCATATCCACGGTCCGACTTTGGAAATAATTATGCATACAATGGACTCCGAACTAGGTGCGTTCTTTTAAGTCTTCCTACAAATATGACTAAGTTGCGAAAACAAGGTCAAACAACTTCTATACAACGAAAGGAGACTGCGAGTTGACAAGTGGACTTGATTCTTTTGGATTATTATTTATGTCCTTATTCTCACTTTAATACGTTTTCTATTTTGCTTTTGTTTCACCAGCAATTTCTGATGGCCTCGAAAAGGCCCCTTTGGCAGCTCCTTCTAAAGCTCAATTAAGAGCTGCCTGTTTTTCTCCGACAAGTTATTCCTTCCATATATTTCAGTGGCGTTATGATTATTTGTAGTATAAATAGGAGTTTCTACTTTCTCCGATTATAATTAGAGTACTCAATTGTTTACCTCGTCGCTGTAAAGTTTGATATGGGAAATGCCTCGGCTTCCTTGAAATTCACTTCTGTTCTGTGACCCAGGGGCGCTCGTGACAGCGTGGCATGGTATTAACTTGTCATAATTGTGCTCTGCACTATCAGAATTTAATTTCCGCTGTGTTTACTTATGACACCCAGACGATGCTGCAGTCAACCCTGAAAGGGATTACCTTTTAGGGGAAAAGGCTAAGTCAAATTCAATGTAGACCGAAGCCTACTTATATGATCGTGGGAAGATTTAACTATCATTCCTCTATTGTCTCATTCAGCCTAGGGTAAATAGCTTTTAATTGATATTTGCTTATAGACTCGTAAATCTACTTTCTATGAATATTGTAGTTAGTTCGATTGAATTTATATTTCTTAGGTTCTTATCCCGCTGAGATTGTTCTAATGAAAAGAATAAAAACAGGTGTTCTTTTCGATAGGTCTCGTTTATGTAAAAATATTTTTCATCCTTTTTTGCAGTGCCAACTTGCTGCCGTTCATTATTCTCTTTTCTTTGAAGTTCATGAAATAACAGAACAAATGTTTACCATCATACTAACTCCATTTTTTTAACTTTCGTTTATAGCCAGACACATGAACATATACATATACATTTATTTATATTTATATATAAACTACTTTTCCCATTTATGCTTTTTATGCTATGCTCCGTATTCGATGAATTAGAGACTCGGATAACCTGACTACAAATAGCAGCCAGAGTGACTCCACCACTAGCACTGCAGCTCTACGATCTAGGCTGTTCGGTGATGGCCTAGACGATGAGTCAATTAGTAGACGATCACTTACAAGTAGCAGTCTCGACTCCTGGAACAATAACATCCCTGCCCTCAACCATACTGTTGTTTTGCCTTCTAGCAGCCGAGCTTCTGGTTTGGGCCACAATTCAGGTGCATTTAGGAACCGTTTACAAGACTGTAATACACAGACATCCGTGTCCTTTCCTGGCCGATGTGAAGATGGCACTATCATCGGACTTCGTTATCCTTCCAGAAGAAGTCCGGCCATCGGTTCACCACGAGCCGACCGTAGAACTTGTTTGGACAACTCGAGAGCTTCAATATTTCCAGCTGTACGGAATCAGCATCATCTTCAGGTTGCCAAAGGATCTTCACAATCCC